AGAGGCCGGCGGACCACAAACCCACGGACCCAAAGCCGCCGGTCAAGACTGTCGTGCTGGCCAGTGTCACGGTGTTGCCGCGACCACCGCCCCTGCCGCTCGTTGGCCGGCTCGATCAGCCCTTCCTGCTGATGTTCCGATGGGAGAGGTCGTCTGAGAAGACAGGCGGCGAATCCGAGTTTATCCTCATGGAAGGGACAACTCAAGTGCTGTCGTCCAAGCCCAGGACGGTCAAATCGAGCCAGCCTGCCGGAGGGACCGGCGCCACGGGCTCTGGGACGACGGGAGCCGCAGGACCACAGGCCTCTGGTGCTGGAGCAGCGACGGTTCAGCCCGAAGCGGTCGAAATGAGGCGCTACAGGAAAAGAATGAACGCCGTCTCCGTCTCCAACATCGGGCTTGGTTTCAAGGCCGAAACACAGACCCTCGACATCAAGATGGACGCCACGGCGCAGCTCGGCCCGCTCGAGGTCAGCCTGCTGGACTTCTCCATGGCCGTGGAACTGCCGAGGCTCAAGACACCCTCCGGCAGCGGCACCGACAAAGACAAGGACCTCGTCCACACACTGGGCAACTGGGCAGCGGACCTACAAGTCCACCTGTCACTGGATGGCCTCGCCGTGGCCATGACGGGTACCAACCTCGAGATCGCCGGCATGCTCGAGCGCACGCCCAGCGGCGGCTTCGAGGGCGGCGTCAGCGTCAACTTCAAGCCGTGGACCTTCACCGCGTTTGCCTACTACGAGGAGGTCGCCGAGGTCGCCGATGGCAACAAGGGCACGTTCCCGTCGGTGCTGATCTACTGCATGGTGCTTGGCTCGCTGCTCAAGACGCCGCAGTTCGAGCTCCGCTCCATCAGCGGCGGCTTCGGCATCGGCTCCGAGATCACCCTGCCCGAGATGGCCAGCGTCAGCCAGTTCCCCTTGCTGCTCCACCAGGAGCCCAAGAACCTCCGTGGCGGGCTCGGGACGGTTGGCACGACCGGCAGCGGCGGGGACGGCAACAAGGCGAAGCCGTACATTGCCCCTGCCAAGGGCCACGTCTGGTTCGCCGCCGGCATGCTGAGCACGGCCTGCGGCACCGTCGACGTCTCGGCGGTGCTGTATCTCCAGCTGGCTCCCGAGGTGACCGAGGTCGGCCTGGTAGGGACGGCCGTGGCCGAGCTCCCCCACGGCGCCAAAGCCTCCGGCAGCGAGCTCCTGGCCGCCGTCGAGCTCGACTTCCGCGGCAAGCTGGACCTGACGCACGGCAGCTTCCTGTTCGAAGGCGAGATCAACGCGTCGCGCTCCTTCATCCTCAGCGGCGACTGCCGGTCCCACGGCGGGTTCATGATGGCTGCGTGGTTTGCGCCCTCGGCCCACGCCGGAGACTGGTGCTTGAGCGTCGGCGGCTGGCATCCGGCCTACTCGCCGCCGGCGCACTATCCCCCCGCGCCGCGCGACCGGCTCGGCATCTCATGGCACTACAGCGACCACGTCTCGATAACGGGCGAGGCGTATGCGGCCTTGACGCCCGACGCGCTGATGGGAGGTACTAGCATCACCGTCCTGTTCACCATCTCGTCCTTCTCGGCGCATCTGGGCGCGCATGCCGACTTTATCATGCAGCTGTACCCGCTCAAGTACCAGCTCGAAGTGGGCGTGTGCGCTGCCGTCGACTACGAGCTGTACTTGCTGCGGTGGTCGCACAAGTTCAGTCTCGAGCTCGGTGCCACCCTCCGGATCCACGGGCCCCCTTTTGCCGGCGCCCGGCATCTCGACGTGGCCATCTTCCACGTCGACATCAACTTTTGTCCCGACCGGGCGGAAATCCCGCCGCTGACACTCGCCGAGTTCCTCACTGTGGTGAGGGGTTCAGGTTCCAGAGCCGTCGAACCGCCAAAGAAACAAGGAGGCCAAGCCGAGGAGGACAAGAACAAGAGGAAGCAAGAAGCCTCGCCACAAACGGACCACGTCCTCGCGCTCGAATCCGGCGCCGTCCTGCTCCACAGCGAACCCAACGCGCCGCAAAAGCCCGACACCCCCTGGGTAGTCCGGCCATCCGACTTCGCCTTCACCCTGACCTCCCGCGTGGCCATGTCCGCCGCGGGCGTCGCCTCCGGCGCAGCCGACACGCTCAAGCGGACGGACCGCATCCACGCCCGCCCCATGAAGCTCCGAGGCGACCGGTGTCTGACCTCGGAGCTCGCGCTGACCGTCTCGCGCAAGGAAGGCAAAGACAGCAGCACCAAAGTCGCCGGCGGCTTCCGCTTCGACGCCCTCGAGCAGGACGTCCCCGCCGCCCTGTGGGGGGAATGCGGCGAGCCGCCGCCCGACGGCGACAACGCGGCCCTCCTCGCGGGCAGCGAGCGCACCGCCACGGTCCGCAAGCTGATGGGCCTGCGCGTGCGGGCGCCCACGCCGGGACTGCCGCCCGCGCGGGGCTGTCCGCGCGTCATCGCGGCCGCGGAGCTGACACCCAAGGACTTAAAGCCGGTGACCCTGGCGGGTGACCGCGTCGGAGACGAGGGCGGCTGGGGAGCGGTATACGACCGGGCGGGGCGGCATGTGCGCGCCGAGAACGAGAGGCGGGATTACGCCCTTGCGAGGGCCGGGCTGCTGGGGTTTCCGGTGCAGAGACCCGTGCTGGTTGCGAGCAGGGTGACGGCGCGGGCCGATCGGGAAAGGGGCTCTGTACCGGGGCCTCAAAGGGCGTCGGAGGAGATGAACAAGCGGCGCGGAAACATACTGGCCAAGTGGGCGGGGATGAGAGGGCTGGCTGCGAGAGGGGCGGCGGTGAGGGTGGTGGATGCAGGGACGGGCAAGCACAGCGAGGTGAAGAAGGGGTTGGCTGAGCAGGTGTCGTGCCAAGTACCAGTATCGTATGTTGCTGATCTGGAGAGGTATACGCATGTTGCACCGCGGGTCGGCGTTCGCTCTTGACGTGTTAGGTAGGCACCTACTCCGAACAGGAGCAAGCTAACGAGGATCTCGTTTCTTTTGCTGCACTCATCATGCATGCATCGGACTCCTATCGCCCTTGGCCTGGTTCACATCATCCGTGACCGCCTACCGCTGAGGCGACGGGATGCCATTCGCAAACTGTTCCCGCTGGAAGTGGTCTTTTTATTGATGCCATTGACCCATGCGTTTGGAGCGCCACCATGTGGTCATGGTCGAGGTCGGATGTCGCGGTCCAGGCGGCGTCGCTAAAGGGGAGATCCCTCGTTCCGAGATGGCGGCGCAGGATAGGTCGGCCATGAACGTGCGGCGTAGCGTTTGAGAACGTATTCTCCAAGAGTGCTTGTGATGATAGGAAGATACGCGATGTTGCAGGCGCCGCTTTGAGTGATCTAGTGTGGGAAGAGGTCACGGTTGAGGCCGCCAGCGTCAACATAGGACTTAACGGGGAGGGCGGCAAGCTGCTAGCGGGTTTCCACGGTGGCCTTGATTGGAAATCCGGGCTGTTGTAGGGACATGAGAATGTGCATCATTGCCAGCAGAGGTCCAAAACCAGCCCAGCCACTGAAGCCCTGGAGCCTCGCATCGCCCAACATGCGTCCCCCGACCGAAGCCCAGTCATTACTGTCATGAATGTCCTGCAGCACCAGCCAAAAACCACAAACCCCACCACCCCACCTCCGCCGATCCGCCCCCAAGCTGGCCTCGCTACCTCTTCTCCCAAACCTCCTGTGCGTGAGCCGCCTCGGTCGTAGCAGGGTTAGCCATCGCGGGAGACGGCTCCGGGTCTGCATCATCGCCCTCCTTTCCCTTCCCTTGTCCGTCCGACACGACTGATCCTTCTGGTTTGTCTGGAGGTGCCGGCGCAGAGGTGGGATCTTGAAAGGCACTTCCATTGCTCCTCTCACCCAGCGAAAGCCCCGACTCTCCGCCCGTTGCTGCCACTCTTGAATGCGGCCACGCCATCCCAGGTGACGACAGCGCGCTGTCCGACCCAACCTCATCCAGCATCGACTCGCCGCTGGCCGAGTCCCTCCTGTACAGCGGCTGTTGCTCCGCCGCGCTGTCTGCTCCCCTACTGGCGGACGAAGTCGATGTCCGTATTGTGTTGTTGTTAGCGTGGTCCCGTCGTCTGACCCGCTCGTCCGGTTCTGGGATTGTGGTAGCCTCTGAGAAGCCCAACTCTTGTTGATCTTGACCCAGCCCGTCCCCCACCCGCTGCCGCCGCTACTCGTCGTCGGCGAGCTGCTGCTGCTGTTGTTATCACCACTGCCAGTCGACTTGCCACCCCATGCCGCGCGCCGCTTCTCCCCGGCCTAGGCCGCCGAGCCGTTGACAAACACGCCCGCTTTGCTCCCCACGGCCTGCATCGTCTGCTGTGCCTTGGCGAGATCCACTCCGCCTCCCGTCCCACCGTTCTTCTCACTCCCACCACCACTTCCCGACTGTAGGTGTGGTAACTGCTCTACGATCACTGAGCCAATGTAATTCCAGGGATTACAGTTTCGTGATTCATGTCGTCGGCATTGTCACTGCTGCTCCTTGACATACATGAGTGAGGCAGGATGTGTTAGTGGATCAGGGCAGGTTAGTGGCAGTGCGATGAAGGGAACTGCGCCGGTTTGGCAGCTCTTCTCGACGGCTTGCTGTAAGACACGGTCGGCACTGCGGCTTCGCCTCGTGGGGAGACCTTCGCAGTGCAACGGGAAGCTGGAAGTCGGGGTTGCGCCCGGCGGAAGGTGGGCCGCGGCGGCTATGCTGGACCATGGGGAGGGCAGTAGAGGTTGCGGTCCCGGCTCGCACCCGGGCCACAGGAGCGAAACAGCTGTTGCCTCGGCGGGGGACACCAGAGAGGCGCTCGCACAGGGTTCTGTCGCTGTTCAGCACGGCGCATTCCATGTAAACGCAGCTCTTGTGTCTCCCGCCGGGCAAGCGAGGATGTCTCCCGCGGACTGTTGAAAAGGAGCTTTCTATGCCGGGATGAGAGCGACAGTGGTTTAAAACTGAGCAGGGCAACCGCATCACAAAAGCGGTCATTGAACGCCGTTTGAAGGCGGGAGTTCAGAAACTCTCAAGGCCGTTCCCGATCGGATTCTGCTTGATGATCTCCGACCGCGATTGGTCTGCCATTGCGCTCAGTAAAAGCAGCTTCTCAATGACGGAAGTGTGTTCGTGCCTGTTTTGCTGGCAGTTGCACCCCCCGTTGCGACCATTAGTCAGCAAACGCTCTTGCGCTATGCAGCACAGGCCACATGCAGTGGGTGATGCAGTGCGGGGTAAAGAGAACTCCTGTAAAGAGAACTTCCTGCCGCCAGTTGTGCATTGTCCCTCTTGAAAGGCGCAGTGACGGCAGGCGACGCCAGTACAAGAAGCCAGATTCGGGTGGGCCGGCGACCAGTCGGGGCGGAGGGAGAGCGTGTTCGGATCCGGAAGAGATAGGGAGCGGATGAAGAAGAAGAGGCCGTCCCGCAAGTGCTTCGGGATGGCATGCTTGTCGGCGAGATGGCGTGTCACGCAGTCGCCGTTTGGCTGCAAGGTCAACGCGCGCTCGGGAGTATTTACGACCAAGCCGACTGCAGCAAGGCGGCGGTCGCGCTCCTCCTCCTGCAGATGAGACCAGCGGCAACGGAGCGGCGGCAAGGCAGGCGCTAACTGGTTGGCCGTCATAGTAGGGGATCCAAAGCGGGGAGAGTTCCTTTTTACTTATGGATGCTTTCCTCAGAGATAACGACTTGTCAGAGAAAACACGCAAGGTAAAAACACGCAAGGTGAAAACGCACGCAAGATGAAAGCACACAAGACCAAGAAGTGGACTGGGAACGCGTCTCGACACAAGACCAAAAAGTGGCCTGGGAACGCGTCTCGTCCCGCCTTTCCCCTTTTTGGTATGCTGTTCTGGTGGGTGCACATTGGTTGGGTTAAGAAACCTGGAAGGTTTCGGAACGGGCCACAGAGGAGATCACCTTTACAATGTATGGAGAAGAAGCAGATGAAAAGGCGCAACCCGGTTCTTGGGCACTTGTGATGGAGTGCATCCTTACCTGATACCTAACTACTGTGGTCGCGTGCATAAAGACTCCCAAGATTCTAGCAACACAGTCACCGCAGTGCACAATCCAGCAATAATGGCACGGCCGGTACGAAGTAGTTGACTACCGAACAACGCCAACGCGTTCGAGCCCTATACTTCGACGCGGCCAAAAGTCAAGCAGAGATCTGTCGTATCACTGGCTATACCAAAGCTTATATCCAGGCCGAGATCCGCGCTCGCGATGCAACTGCCTACTGGACCACTGGCCGGCCTCGGACATTGACGCCAGAGCAAGAAGAAGAGGTTGTTCAGTACGTTACTTCCAGCAGAAAAGCTCGCCGAATGAGCTTCCTCGAGCTCTCAACAATCATCTTCGCTGAAGTCTTTGGCGTATGGGTGATCAAGCACGCCCTTTATCGACTGGTCTTCCGCCAACAAGTTGCCTGCAAGAAGCCACCGATTACCAAACGAACTCGGAAGCTCCGAGAGACCTGGGCCAAAGAGCATGAACACTGGACCCCTGAGCAGTGGGCAAAGATCCTTTGGACCGACGAGACTTGGGTTACTGGTGGCCCGGATAGGAAGCAGTATGTAACCCGGCGTCCAAGCGAGGAGTGGGATCCTACTTGCATTATGGAAAAGCATCAACGCAAGGGTGGCTGGATGTTCTGGGGCTCTTCTCTGGCTTAGGCAAAGGCCCTGGAGTCTTCTGAGAAAAGGATTGGGGAGAGATCAACGCCGAGATCTATGTTGGACAGCAACAGTTACAGGCTCGAATAGGCATAGACCAACCAGGCGATACTGCATCAGTTGAGGCACAGGATGAAGCTTGAATTGGCTGTCTGAACAGTGCGTCATGTGTGTGTTTTGCTTGAAGGAACCGAGGGCCTCGGGACCCTCGCCAGACCCTGCTTTTGGGTGGGGGACGAGTCTTCCAGTGCCCAGCCCCTGATCCAGGTGCCAAGGAGCCGGTCCAATTCAACAGGGGGAGCAGCCAGGGAAGCAGCCAAGGGGGGAGCCAGAGCCCCAATCTTGATGTATCAGGAGCTGAAACGAGCGGGTATTGGTACAGTAGAACTGCGGGGCCAAAGGATCGCTCGAGGTCCTCGCTACATTAGTGCTGTGGACTTTGACCCCTGATAGCATGCTGCCCCGTCGGAACCACACACAGTAAGGAAGGCTTCCAGCTGGACTGCGAGGGGTCGCCTGATTCCGCAACACAACCTGCAGTATCGGGCCGGTCAAGGCATGCGGGAGCGTCTGTTGCTGATATTAGCCGGCGGCACAGTCGAATAGCAACACAGCATGGAAGCATACACTCGCTTCCCCGCGATTTCTTTGTCAACAGCAGGGCCCTTGGGATAAGCAGACGATTGCGACGGGAACCGCCGACGATGCCGAGGGCTACGGGCATATAAAACGGCGGAGCCCCTCGAGCCCGACGTTGATGCTCCAAAACATAAGGAGTTGCCGAGTGTTCTATAGTATCAGCCAGTGCCTTTGACCGTACTCTCTCACTATGTACCCCAAGGTGTTAGCCGTGGCGGCATCATTGATCAGTCTTGGTGCTAGCGTTCGCCTTGACGCCCACCATGGCCTGGATTTGCGGAGCGCACGCGAGGAGCCCTGCAAACAGGTCCGCGACCAAGCTGCCAAATGGATGGCAGACAACGGCATTGGTATGTCTACTCTCGAGTAATGGAAGATCTCGGTATTAACTAGGATTATCAAAGTGCCAAAGAACCGGTCTGAGCTCCGTTCTTTCATGCCGGCCACCCCTTCTGTGCCTATCCGGCCGTCGATTGCGCTCGCATGCCTCAAGTCGGTGCCTTTGTATAAAGATTCAGCCTTGCAGCAACTCGATTTCCTCCGCCCATTGCTCGAATGGCAGAGCTCGGTCGAGTATCTCCGGGACCCTCCTCAGGGGTATCTCTCCGAGGGCGTTGATCTCATCCGAGGCCTCGATGACATAGCAGCGAAACTCAAAGAAGAAAAACGAGGCGGTTACGCGAACGAGCTTGAATTCCTGGCAGACCTGCGCATGTTGACCAGCGTTCGCCCCCGCGACTTCCATTTCGGCTATTGGACGCTGCTGCTGGACCTGTTTGACTTTCCCATGAGTGCCCAGTTCATCTCTATATCTGACGACGGGCTTGCTATGCCCAAGATCTATCTTTACGGTACTGCCCCTCCCACTTGCTAGAACTAAGAAGAACTGGGCTTATAATGACGGGCGTATAGACGACGTCAAACACGCCCAGAACGGGTATACGCCTTCCCCAGTGTTAACCATCGATGGTGTCCCAGCGCTGGAGTTTCTACAAAAAGCATCCGTCAATATCGCCTTGTCTCACGATCCCGACGCTCGGTTTAACGGCATGTTTCGAAGCCTCGCCACTGACACAAATCTAGCTTATGTCTCACCCGAACCGTTCGCACTGTTCCTCGGCGATACAACCAAGGTCACGTGCCACAATGGTACCAGATTTGAATTCAGCAATGCCGCCCGACTCCGCGCAAACTTCACCAAGATCACCTCGGGCGCCGATCTGTACGATGTTTATGGCCGTGGCGACTCGACCGACGAGCGGCCTCTCAACGCCAGGTTCTACCAACTGGCAGAGCGAAACTACACAGCCGCCTTCGTAGGTTATCCCAAACCCTTCAAGTCTACCAGGCACGTAGCAGGCTTTCTGCCAGAGAGCTCCGAGTTCTCGGACATAGCCGTGCTCGCTTTGAATAGCTTCAATGAAGCGCCTAACCTGGACCACGTCGATCGGTCCATGAGCGTTCAACAGAGAGACTTCTACCAAGTCGTAGTTGACTCCATCAGCGCTGCTAAAGCGGCCAACCGCACCAAGCTCGTCCTTGACTTCCAGGGCAACGGCGGCGGCCTCACCTCCAACATCATGGCCCTCTACTTTGCCCTCTTCCCCGGCGATACCCTGCCCGTCCTCTGGCAGGCCCGCGCCCACCCCCAGTTTGCCTGGCTCGGCAAGCAGGCCTGGGATCCCACGTCATCTATAGGCCAATGGCCGGTGTACAACATGATGAGGCCCGACGGCAAGCCCTGGTCCTCATTTGAAGAGCTGTACGGGCCCTTCCCGGATGCCCCGGCCGGCCAAAAACGATGGGGCCAGCACACCCACCCGGCAATTGAAAACACAACGTCC